AGCTTCGATGTTCTTATGCAATCTGCGAGAAATAAAGGCAAACAACTTTATTTACCAAACTTTTCACACTATAAAAACCAAACCGAAAACAACTATTGCAATATAATATTGTAAAATGGATACACCAGCGTGGTGGAGGATGGAAATCAGAAGAATATGCTAATAGTCAAGGAAAAGAATTTATTACAAGTCTTACAGAAACAATCTGGTATGTTGATATGCACGGTTATAATAAATTAGAAAATCGTAGTTACCATATTCCAGATATTTTTATGGAGTTTTTTAATCGAGCTGATCCAGAATCATACAAAGAAGCACGAAAACCTTTTAATACACAGGAATTAAATATTCATTGTCAGGCTTTGGCTCCTTACGTTGTATTTCCATGGATGTTTTCTGCAGCATTTAGTTGGTTACGTGAACCTCTTGACAATTTTGTCATAGTACTATCACAATATGTTGGATTTTTACAACACCAACAAGAAATTACGGCAAAAAATCATGCATTGGATAATTATGTCTGAAGTTCTGAAAAAGCAATAACAGTTAAAATTCATGAGCATAATATTTGGATTACCCCGACAGATAAAATTAAATATCAACAGTTGGAACATATATTATCATGTATAGAATATTGGAAACTACTTAACTTAGAAGAATATTTGCCAGTTAACGTGCTGTATGTTTCTTGTATGTGCTGTATGTATGTATATACATTTTTAATTTAATGTTATAACATCTCTTATATTTAGACAAAGAATGCGATATCTACAAGGCTTGCAGCATGCATTTGTATTTAAAGTCAGGGATTATCGTTTTAATTCCGGAAATAATACATTTCATGCCACTTTAATTTGGAAAATTGATGAGAATTTGAGTGAAGAACAAGTGTTTCAAAATAATATGAATATCGTGAATCAACTTCGAAATGAAGCTCCAAAATACCACACACGAGCAATGAGGATTAATTATATATGTACATGTGACTTGCTCCTTCCAAAAGTAAAAGTGTCTTCACTTCACGCTATTTACAGAATGTTAACTGGCGATAGATCTGCAGCAGAATCAGCCAATAAAGCAAAAGTGGATACATATATTAAGTTGGCTTTAAACTTAGATGATCTTGATATTGTATTCAACTTGCGTGAACATAATAATGGAAGACCCGAAAAATACAATGAATTTTGGGACATTGCAAGCCACTTTCTTGAAATTAAAGCTGCTAAATTAGTTACTGCTATTGATGAATGTCGTTATGATATAATTGTGCATTTAGCTACGTGAATGATTTAGGGCTCCAAATAAAAAATGAATGTTCATCTGATGTATTAATTCCAAGTGTGCAATGGTTACGATTACAATTTTGGCCCAAGAATCCAACTACTCTTTCTAGCTTGCAATATGTGAGCCGGTTGCCTCTTAAATTTATAGTACAGACATGACAACTTCGTGCTCATCATCCAGATGCACATTATGCATCGGCACTTTTTCAATATGAAAAGGAATTTGCAGTAAAATTTTGTGATATTACGATGCTTGCATTCTTGGATGACAAACACAGATGTAAAGTTGGAGAGCCGGGGTTTCCTGTTGCAGCTGTAGAAAGAGAAAAGCGAGTTATTGTTAGTAAAGATGAAGCATTTACGGTTGGAGATCATGATTATACCAAAACTGGAATAGTGCCAAGTGTTTCCATGATATGCACTATTCCAGAATCAATTAGTGAAGACTTTTATGTGAGCCAAGTGTATATAGGACTAAAAGAACCTATTTTTCAGCCTTCATCACCATTACACCATGCAACTGAGCTATATAATATTTTGCTTAATGAAAATATTAATAATAAATCTATATTATGCCTTTATACTGATGGTGGTCCCGACCACCGCTGTACATTTGCACAGGTGCAAATTTCATATATTTGTCTTTTTTTAGCACTGGATCTTGACTATTTTATTGCTGTAAGAACACCACCGCAGCACTCATGGAAAAACCCTATTGAACATGTAATGTCCACTCTTAATCTTGGATTACAATGTGTCGGTCTAATGCATAGTAAAATGGACGATGAGTTTGAAGCATTAATTAGCAAAGTGATATAGTGAAAAACCATCCTACTTTAAAAACTGCATTGATTGAGAGTATCCAATAGCCAATTAATCTTGTTCGCAATATATTTGAGCACCAATCTCTAAAGGAGGTGCTATTTAAAACCTTTGATACAGCAGTGGAGGAAGAAATTGACCAATTGGGAAATGATAAAATTAGTTGATAATTCTGTATCTCGAGATGATCGTATGGCAAAAAATATAAAAAATAGAGTAAGTATTTTATTAGAAATATGTTAAATAAGAAAAATACTAAAACTTTTTTGAACAGACACAATTAATAGAATTTATAGAGCATTACTGCGTGGCACGACATTATTTTTTTGCAATCAAAAAGTGTGGAAAGGATAATTGCACAATATGCAGACCACCTCGTTGTTCCCAAGAAGAATTTGAACAACTTTACTGTCTTTCTGACCCAGTTCTAGACGAAGACTTTCATTATAAATCGTTTGATGAACTATATAGAACAGCTACGAGTAAGGAACATAGGCCTTCACTTAATGAAGCTAAGTTGCGAAAATCAAAAGTAAGCAAATCAAAAACTGCTAGTCCAAGAGGAAGTCATACTATGCCATTTTGCCCTACTGCAGCTCGGGCAAAAAATGTCAGTATCACGGTTATTTGTATTAAATGTGGAAAGCCACGCCTTTTATTTAGTGCTAAAAAACTTTTAAAAAATGAACAGCAAATATTAAAAACTTTTCTTGATACTATTTTATATACTTATGGAATGTCTTTCAACGGCGTTTGTGATCCAGTCAATGCTATAACGAAACAACCAACAAATATAACAAATGAATGCATGATGGTTGAAGATAGTAGTGAAAATGAGGGTGATGAATCCACAGGACCAAGCTATTTTTCAGAGATATGTGTATGTTGAAATAGCAATAAGGTGAAAAGAATTCATTGAAACAAAAAAAAAAAAAATACATAGAATTACAATTATAAATCCATTGGTGGATCCAGAAGTGAATCTGATAGTGAAGCCGATAGTGAATCCGAATATATATGTAATGATAATTCCGATACTGAAATTACAACTGTGTTAGAAGATCCAATTCAAAAAATCTTTGAAAAAGTTTTTGTCAATGATTCATGGTCGTGTAACTCACCTGTTGAGAAGCCATATTACTCCGCTGGAATATATCCTATTATTTGCTATTAATGTAGAAGTAAAGAAACCCATAAACCTGAGGAAAAGCGTGAGCGACCACTATGTGGTAACTGTGACGGCAACATAACACCAAAAAACGACAGAAATGGAAGCCAGACAGTTATAAAAGGAGTAATAAGTAACTATCTTTTTGCTAACAAGTCTAATTGTAATCGTTACCACACTTAATAGTTCATTTTTTGGGTTTTATTTAATTAGCAGGCACATGTTCGTGATACGTATATTACCTTTTTCTATTAAAAAAGGATACGATTTTTTTTTGAAAAAAAGGATACATTGTTAATCTTGCACAATATTATCGTATTTGCTTTATTGATGTATTGCATTGCACGATTATTCTTAATTTTTCTGAAATATTTATATATATATATATTTTTTTTTAATATTAAGGTGACCACTTAGGCCCTTGGCACTTTATTAGTACAAGCGGTAGGC